CCAGGAACAGCAGGCCTGCCTCAAGGCCAGTCCCATACCTTGCAGAACCCAAGCAAATACAGCAGTGCTTCCCAACACATACGCCAGAGCAATTTACCAGGAAACATAAACCGATGCAGCTATATTCATAGATGATAAAAAATTACAACTGGAGGTGTATAATTTATAGCAGATATAAAATTACAACTCAACAATGAGGATTTTTTAAACTAATGATTTTATTGTTTCTATAAAAAATGATACATGCTTGTTATAAAATAGAGTCATAAAGAAAAATACAAGAAAGCCACATATCATCAAACAATCCCCTCACTGGGGTACCATTAACATTCACTGTACAGTATTCCAAACCTCTCTGTATCCATATAAAATCAGGATGTGTCTGGATAGACAAACGCCTTCCAAGAACGAGGGCTCATGCCACACACGCAACTAGCTGTTCTTTTTATTCGTTCCATTATTAAATATATAACCCTTGTCACTTGCTAGCCAAAAAGCAGCAACAAAGCTAGCACCAAAGATTTCAGAAATATAAGTTAGACCTTGGATGGGCCAGCAGATGGTGTGGAGGTTAGGGCGGCTGGATCTCCCATGGTCAACAATGGGTCTGAGTTCCAGACCTGGAGGTTTGAAAACATGCTAGGCACATGTTTATGGATGCCCAAAATCCTGAGAGAAGAGTAGATTGTAGTGTGACCACATGCCCAACAGCAAAAAAAAAAAAAAAAAAAAAGGAAAAAAGTAAAAAAAAAAAAAACTTAGCCCTGAGAAAATTCTATACATGACTTGGTTGTTGTAGATAATTAACAGAAGCCTGTAAAGTGGCCCATAGACACTCATGACCACCCCTGGCAATTTTCACACTTCCTTTGGAGCATGGACATGTGCTGAGTCACCGTCGCAAAGGCTCTGGGTGGGCCTCAGTGTCCCTTTGCACAGAGGAGACCTAATGTTGCTCACGTGCCCTGCAAAAGCCAAGCTTGAGTAAAACAGCTGATGTTCTTATACTGGGGGAGTAGGGTGGGTAGAATGCCCTTGGAGGTCCAGGATCCTAATCCTTGAACCTGTCAATATGGTACCTTACATGGCAAGAGATATTGCAAGTAGATTACAGATCTTGAGGTGAGATTACCCTGGACTGTCGGGTCAGGGTGGGAGGGAGCATGTAGTCACAGGGTCTTCATGAAAGGATGGGAGTCAGAAAAATGGAAGCACATCAGTGGAGGGCAGAGAGGAACTAGAAGGTGCTACCTGCTGGCCTGAAGATGGAGGGAGAGTCCCAAGCCAAGCCAAGTCAAGTAATGGAGGTTTCTCTAGAAGCTGGCATAGGTGGGAACTGCATTCTCTCTTAGCCTTTAAAAGGAACCAGCTCCATGGACTACTTTAGATCCCTGAACTCCAGAACACTAACACACTTGTTACTTCAAGTCACTGGGTTGGCAGTGCCCTCCCAGAGCAGCAATTGGAAAACTAACCCAGGAAGCTTTATGTGGAAGAATCTTGAGTTGTTCTTGAAGGCTAGGTTGAACAGGGCCAGCAAAAGAGAGAAGCCCCAAGCTGGGGCCAAACTCTCCTGATATGATCTGTGTACGCAAGGCTCTCGTCTCCAAGCCCTCCAGCTCCTCGTCCCCAGAGCCACAGAAAGCCAGACCGAGGGATGTGTGGGTGGCAATGGGGGGAACGTATTGCCCTCGTCAGTCAGCTTCTCAGGAAGGTGACCATGGGTCCAGACTGTGACCATGGCTATCTCTGATTTTTCTCATGTCTAAGGCAAACACTTGGGAGAACATTCTGGGCACTTTTATTTTTAGAGATTTTTTTCTATAGGATGCATGAGCTCACCAGAGAGACAGAAAAATCACCTCCCAGGAGAATGGCCATGCCATAATTCCTTCTCCTCCATTCTCCTCTTGTGATTTTGGGCACACATGTACACACTCTTGGCATGAGTTTCAAGCTGCCAGGTCCAGGACTTGAACTGTGATGGACTACATGGGAGTCCAGTGACATAGCCATTATGCTGTCCACTGGTCCTTCTGGGCACTTTCAAATCATGTAATTGGCTTATCAAAGCCAGTATATATAAGAAACAGAATACAATCTTTCTCTGACAAATGATGGACTATGAAAAATATGAGAAGCTTTGGCAGACACAAACAGAATGTCTGGGTTCCAAAACACTGCTTTAGCAACCCAGATCCAGAAAAACAAAGGCAATGCCAAGGTGCTCCAGCATGGCCTAGTGGTTAGGGAAGCCAACTCCTATGTGCCAACCACAGTTTGAACCCTGGTCCTGGCAGCTTGAGGGGCACACTAAGCCAATGCATTGTGCAGGTCCCAAATCTTGACAGAATGAAGAAATGGAGTCAGGATTGTAGCATGACCACACCCCACTGGAGAGTGTTTTCTCCCTCTCTCTCTGGCGAGCAAAGGCACCCTTTGGTAATTAAAAATAAATAAATAAATAAATCAGCAGGTTCTGCAGATGTGTAGAAATGTCAGACTGCCTGTCCTACAACTCGTTTCAAACTGCTCTTATACTTCATCATAACTTGCTGAAACCATGTCTGTATCTATATTATTCCTATTTGAACTTCACTGCATTTATTTCAAAGTGAGTTTACTCAATCAAAAGAATTTACTCAACCATGGATACAGAAAGTTCAACTACAGTTTCATAAAATGTTTTTAAATTTTTTCAATTCAAATTAATTTCAGATTTCCAAAAAGTTGCATGGACAGAAAAGAGTTCATATACCCAGCTTCCCCAAATAACATCTCACATAACCTAGCACGATATTCAAAATCAGGAAATCCAGCCCAACCCTGGTAGCACACTGAGACACTGTACTCTGTGGCTGGGATCACATGGGAGGTCTGGGTTTGATTCCTGGCCCAACTTAAAGGCCAGGTGTGGTAGCAGGCACCTGTAAACCCAGTGATTCGGGAGACTGAGGCAGGAGGACCATAAGCTCAAGCCTGGCCAGGGCAACACAGAAAGACCCTGTTGAGAAAAGAGCTAGGCATAGTGGCCCATGTCTACAGCCCCAGCTGGGAGGCTGAGGTAGGAGGATTGCAACATAGCAAGATTCTCTCTTAAAAACAAAACCAAACCAGGACTAGCAGGTAGCATGGTGGTTAAGGCTGCTGGACTCCTACATGGCTGACCACGGTTTGAGTTCCAGACCTGACGGCTTGCTTTCTCACTTTCCTTCTCTCTCACTGTGTCCCTCTCTGGTCAAATTAAAATAGATAAAATTAAATAAAACAATTATTTATTAAAATATAAAACCAAGAAATCAATGATGACACAATGCTGGTAACCCTCCCTGGGTCCAGCATCCCAGGGCCATTGAGCTGTCACATCTTGCCTCCTCTCGTCCTCAGTTTCTTCATTGTCCATGACCTTGACACTTTTGATGAGTACTGGCAGTTACTTTGTATATCCCTCAGTTTGGTCTGTCCGATGTCTCCTCATGATGACACTAAGTTATGCATACTAGACAAGAAAATCCCAAGTGATGTCCAGTGCTCAGTGCACGAATCTGGCTCCTGATGACAGCTGCTCGGCTACAGTGGTCCCCACCATAAGGCACCACCGCTTCCTTGCAATCTCCAGGCATCTCAAGGGAGGTGTCTCAGACTTGACAACATCCCACATCATGTCCTTATTACACTCTGCCCACCAGTTTTGGGGGCTACTGATGGTTCTTGTCTGCAATCATTATCACTGTGGTAATTGTCAAATGGTGATTTTTTTCTCTCCCCATCATTTCTTCTACGTTAGTCCAGAATAAGGAAGAGCCATCCCTTCCCCACTGATGTACTTACGCAACTATTTCTACCTGCGTGGACTCCTGGATGTTGATTCGTGTGGGCTATAATGGTACCACCATCACTGATTTTCTTGCTCACTGTCCCCGGTTTGGCCACTAGGAGGTCCTTCATGTTGCCGCCTGTTCTTTCGACATTGCGAACATCATTTCTCTCAGCCCATCTTTACTCTCAGCACATGATACTCTAAGCTCATCTTGAAACTTCCTTGCCCCAGTCCTGGAGCCAGCCAGGAGTCTTGGTTTCTGATTAAAGAATGGGACCAGGGCTGGCTCGCAGCAGTAATGCACTGCTCAAAAGAAACCAAATCCCTTGGGGACCAGCAGGTGGAGTGGTGGTTAAGGTGCTGGACACACTCACATGGCTGACCATGGTGCAAGTCCTGGACCTGGTAGCTTGCTTTTCTCGCTTTCTCTCTCTCCCTCTCTTCCCTCCCTCCTTCCCTCTGGTAAAATTAAAACATGAATGAATAAATAAAAAATAAAATAATTCTTTAAAAAAAGTAAAGAAACAAAAGAAAACAAATCCCACATGGCTTGGTGATTCGAATCCTCAGCCCAGTCAGCCCGAGACATGCTGGGCCTGTGTACAAGTGCCCAGAGTCTGACAGGCTGGAGGACTGAAGGAAGAAGGAAGGGGGAGGGAAGGGACTGCAGCATGACCAGACCCTGTGGAGAGTGCTTTCCTGTCTCTTTCTCTTGCATGTACGCACTCTACCATGAATAAAGGGAAATTAAAGAATAGGATCAGAGCCAAGACTGGATGCTGGGTGTGGCAGCTTCTAGGCCCTCTCAGGGCAGAGCTAGAATATGTTTGTGTGAAACATACACACACATCTCTAAATCCATTTCTTTATCTAGCTACCTTTATGTTGGAAAACCTTACGTTTGGGACCAGCAAATGGTATAGTGGTTATGTTGCTGGACTCCTACATGGTCAACCATGGTTCAAGTCCCAGATCCAGTGGCTTGAAAATCATACTGGGCACATGTGCATGCATGCCCAAGACTCCAGGAGGTGAAGGAATTGTGGCATGGCCATTCCTCTTGGAGAATCATTTCTCACTTTCCCTCTCACTGTCTCTATCTCCTTTTCCAGTGAGTACATGTGCTCTAAGGCAAGGGAAAAAAATCTTAAGTTCAATATATTGGAGCACAATATATTTCCAGTTTATTCTATTTTAGATTACAGTTTTGGTGTAACCTGGGTGTGGTAGTTAAGGTAGTTGGACCCCACATGGCTGACTGCACCGTTTGAGTCCCGGAGCTGGTGGCTTAAGAAACACAACGAGCATGTGTGTGTGCATGCCCAAAATCCTGAAGGGAGGGAGAAGGGAGGAAAAGGATTGTAGCGTGACCATTCTCTATAGGGGAGTGCTTGCTCACTCTTACCCTCCCTGCAAGTGCATGCACCCTCTGGCAAATGGGGAAAAAAAGTTTCATAATTGCTGTCAATGTGGAAGAAAACGATTACCTAGGCTATAATATCTTGTCTTTTTGAGGGGCTGACAAGTGGTGTGGTGCTTAAGGTGCTGGACTCCCACATGGCTGAGTTCTGGACCGAGGCATGCTTTCTCACTCTCTCTCTCTCCGATCAAGTTGAAGAACAATAAAAAATAAAATTAAATAAGTAATTCTTAAAAATGAAAATCTTGTCTTTTGTTCCTCACTTTAGGCAAAATTGTTTTCCAACATTACTCAGGCTAATGGGGCCCTCTATACCCTCACTGGGTCATGGCATGCATTTGGAAGTTACTTAGGCCTGTCCTGTCTCCCTCACCCCTGCGGTGGGTCCCAGTGGGTATCTGTAGGTTGCTAGGCTACTGCCGCCTTCTGCACCGCTGTAGTGGGACACAGTGTGCATCTGTAACATGACTGGGCTGTTACTGTTAATACCGCAATACGGCTAGGCAGTACTGTCAAATCCTGCTTTATTTGTTTTCTGAGCATGTAAAATACTGGCATGGCTCAGAGTCAGAACTCCGTGACACGGTGTACTCAGAGGTGTCACGGCCCTCCCAGGTGGTAACCACTCTCATCAGTTTCAGGTTTATCCTGCCTGAATTTCTTTTTTGTACAAATAAGGAGTTATTTGTACAGTTTCTTTCTTCTTTTCCTTTTTAACACGCTATAGATACTCTTTCGTACTCACCTTTCCCCACATTAGCAGCATGATACGTCTCTCCCTATCAGTCAGACTGCCCTCCTTCTTCCCCACCACAGTCTTTCCTGCAGCTGCACAGTGTCCGTGTGGCTGTGTCAGTGTCTAAACGTGCTCTTGTAGGAGAGGGCATTTGGGTTGCTTCAGTATCTTTTAGTTAAAAATACTGTTGCAATAAATAACATTAGGCATATACAAAATATTTTGACGGCTTAGTTTGGTTTGCTGCTAAAAACTGAGACTTTTCCTAAACTAGCAATAACATGCCAAAAAATCTACAGCACACAGAGAAGCATGACAGAGACCAAATATAGAACTGTGACAAACTGCAAGTGGGAGCAGGGGTGCCAGTCCAGGCACGCAGGCAAGGGAAGGAGGCATTTGCTCAAGGCGGTCTAATAAAGGGCCCCACCACAGCACAGGAAACAGACCATACCGTGGAGAACTGGAGATGAGCTGAGGAGCCGCCCCAACCACACCCTGGGGTGCAGAGCAGCCTTCTTCCTGGAGCCCAGGATCAACTGCATTGGCTTCCCCCATCTTCTAGAACTAGAGAAGACTCACCATTGCAGAGAGGGGACTGTGGCATGACGAGACCCTGTGGAGGGTGCCCTCTCTCCCTCTCTCATGCATACATGTGCTCTACCATGAATACGTGGGGAGAAAAGAAAAGATGAAAAGCCTCGTTGCCCAAGGGGGACATGCCCTGGATTGTCCCTTGTCCTCTCAATCTCATCACTGCCGTCCACTGGCCAAATGGAGCCAAGGAAACAGCCTGCAGTGCTTGGGAAGGGGGAGTGGATCTGAAGGCCAGCAGGCCCAGACAGGAGGCATGGTACTAGCATTTGTTCATGGTTTTGAACCCTGGCACACATCAAAATCATCCTAGACTCAGCACCTGTAATGCTGAAATGACTCACAGGTAATTCTGCAAACAGTTCAGGCTGAGAACCACTACTCTAAGAACCTGTGACTGGAAACTGTGATGTGGCAGGACCACCACTTCGACGTGACCTCAGAGGGTCTCCAGTAAGAGCTGGTTGATACTGAGGGTTAATATTTTCACAGAGTAATTAGAAGACAACCATGTAACTCTCACTACGTATGTACTGGCATTCTAGTTGTCAGGATTACAATATGTGAGTTACTGAAATTAAATATCTAGTTTTATAATTACAGTCTGATACAAATCAGAAAATTACCCTTTATTATAAAGGTAACTTGTTCAGGCAGAACCAGAAAAACCCAAGAAATCAAATGTATCAAAAGACAAACAACTTTTCACTATCTCAATTTCCACTTCTGGTGGTGGTGGAGGGTGAACTGGCATATATGCTCATGAGTACGAAAAGGAAAATGTTTCTAGGGAAAGGTTCTTTTCTGACCATGTCTGTCTATAGCAGTGAAATCCGTGCACACTGAGCATATCGGTTTTGGAAAGCTACTCAGAGCACTGCACTAAAGCCACCCTTTTACAGGAGACCCAGGGCACTCGCTGGCCATGAAGAGTGACACCAGTGGCATCTTACCTCCTGTCACGAGCCTCCCTGGGAACTCAGTCACACATGTGGATTTAAAGATAAAGCCACTCTCTTAAGGAGAAATAAGAATCTAAAAGGAAGAACACTTGTTGAAAATAACTTGGGGAGCGCAGGAGATAGCCATTTCCCTACTTAAGAGAGGGACCCACAGAGGATGCCTGACTGGCTTCAGGAGGAGTATGTCAGGGCGTCCTGAGAGCCTGTCCCAAGAAAGGCCACACGCAGGCCCTCAGTTCCATGTGATGTGCTCTAGCTTGGGTACCTTTGACACAGCCCAGTGCTTTTCTCATCAGAAGTTATTTTTTTGCCTCTGATTTTCCATCTATCAAATCTCCAAATCCCAGTTTTTCCAGTGGTTCTTGTGCCATCAGTTGCCTAAAAGGAAAATGGAACGTTGTCAGGGTGGCAGATACAGGGAAAGAAGACCAATGTCTATACAAGAGCCCGCCAGGCCTGTTCACGTGCTCCCACATCCCCCCAACCCGGGGTGCTCCCTTCACTCCTGTGTCATGTCTTAGGAAACCAGCCCCAGAGAGCCACATAGTCAGCCCACAGGGTGAGAGTCAACAATCCATGAGGATGTGCCTAGCCGAAGTCCACATGGTCCTCTCAGCCTCACTGAGTCCCTCCTGGGGCAACACAGGCACCCCGTAGACTCAAGAGGGCAGCTGCTGAGGGTGTGGACAGAGTCTAGACACACACAGTGGGGATGCACATGGGTGGAACAAGGGGTGGGGCAGAAGGGTGGGCTGCAGCCAGGCTTCCAAGCTGCCACATTCCCTGCAGATGTGTGAGGAGGAACTCAAACCTGGCCACCAGGGGATATGATGGCATGTTAGCGACCAGGAGAACACACCATTTAATCACATCAGCTTTACTTTGAACCTCGAGGTATTTAGACACAGGTATATGGACTCCACTTACTCCTGGTTTCAGTCCCACAGTGGTGCCTTCTCTACGACCCCCTGGGTGCCATCTCCTGTGGTGTCAGATTGGTGAAAGCCGCTAAGATGAAGCTGTGTAGCACTGTGACCTGTGCTACCTCACACGGCTCACAGGCCAGACGGGGAGCTCAGTACTTGGTCTTTTCGAGGATGCAGGAAGACACTAGTTTTCAGAGGCAGTCCCATCCCACGTGGCAGTGACAGCATAACTCTCCAGCTAGGACTCCTTCAGCCTCCTATACCCCACTCCAGGCAGTAGCCGGCTTCTCCCCGTGCCACACTGTGCTCCTATAATAGGCTCAGAGCACTTTGCCCAGAGGGGCTAGATTCACTGTGAGAACCCACCCAGGGCCTGGCACCTGGAAGCCCCTACTGTGCTACAGCATCACTTTGGGGCCCCTTCTACAGCTGACTTCATTTGTCCCTCAGAGCCTGGAGATGAGGATACTCACACCCAAAGAGTAGCTATAAGCGTGGAAACAACCCATGAGGAATGAAGGCAGATGGCTATGCTTTCTGAGCTAGGCACATTGTAGAAACACAATATACAGAAAATAATCTGTTAACCAAACTCTAGTACTTTCCTGTAGGCCATCCCCATTAAGAAAACAACAAAAAAGTCACATAGGGCATGTGTGCCCAAGATCCTGAGAGAATGGAGAAGGAGAGGGGACTGCAGCATGGCCATCACCCCTTGGGAGATGATTTCTCACTCTCTCTCTCTCTCTCTCACACACACACACACACACTACCCCAATGAGCATATACACTCTGCAGCAAAACTTAAAAAAAGTAAATAAAATATAATGGACTATCTTAAATAAGATATTTAGGATTTACTTTTAAAGACTTTAGCAGTTGGGGTAGCAGTAACACAACTCACAAAGGAAAGGTCCAGAGTTCGCATCCTAGGACCTCCCCAGGCACAATGAGCATGTGTATGCCAGAGTTACTGGTTGGCTGACACTGGGGTGGATCGTGGTGTGAAGACCTGTTAGGGGTGCTGTCTCTCTGACTCTCTCTCTCATGGATGAAATAAACATTTTTAAAAAATAAAAATAGGGGCCAGCAGGTAGCGTGGTGGTTAAGGGCACTGGACTCCCACAAGGCTGACTATGGTTCGAGTCCCAGACCTGGAGGTTTGCTTTCTCACTTTCCCTATCTCTCTCTGTCCCTCTTTGGTCAAATTAAAATAAATAAATAAATACAGTTAAATTTAAAAATAAAATAAATTAATTTTAAAAAAATAAAAATAAATAAGACTTCAGCGGTAGAGACAAAAACTAAGGGGAAAGAGAAACCAAAAGTGGAAAATGTAGATAATGACTGAAGCTGGGCCTAAGTGCATGGGGTTCATGGTTCTGTTCTACTTCTGTGTGTGCTTTAAATTGTCTATAAAAAAAAAAAGCTAGAGGGGCCAACAGGTGTCATGGTGGTTAAGGCTCTGGACTCCTTTGAGTCCTGGACCTAGTGGCTTGAAACTCACACTGGGTGCTTGTGCATGTGTGTCCAAAATCCCAATAGGAAAATGGAAGAGAAGGGATTGTGGCATGGCCAACCCCCTGCAAGGTGATTTCTCCCTTTCCTTCTCTGTGTCTCTGTCTTGTCTCTCTCTGGCAAGCATACATGCCTTAAAGGCAAAAATGTAAAAAAAAAAAAAAAAAAGAAAAGAAAAGAAAGAAAAGCTAGAAACCACTTAAAAAGAAAAAGTCCAACTGTAGACCAGACTGAGTACAACTATTTGAACACCTCACCAGAGCTAGACAATCTGACTATGTATACCCAATGGTGGGTACTATGGCTTGGGTGTCCTCCCAAATTCATGTTAGAATTTGGTTGTACTGTGAAAATATTAAGAAATGTAATACCTTCAGAGTATTGAAAGGTGGGGCTTTAGGAGTAATTAGATGATTAGGGCAGGGTCCCTATGATTGACCCCTGGCAGGTTTATAAGGAGAGACAGAGAGATGTGTGCTCCTGTTCTCTCCTGATGTGACACCTGCTTGGGCTTGCCATCCCACCATCAGGAAATCCGGAACTTGGTTCTCCAAACTGTGAGCTAAATAAATCTCTATTCTCTTACACTACCTAAGCTTGTATATTTTCTGTTATTAGGAACAGAATGGTCTAGAACAGAAAACTGTTCTCCCACAAAGTGAGATTTTAGATTTTTGTTTGTTTGTTTTTTGGAGACGTTTTTGCCATAGGGCACATGCACTCACCAGAAAGACAGAGAGAGACAGAGAGATAGAAAGCGAGATATCACCCCCTGGGGGGATGGCTACGCCGCAAGCGCTTCACATCCACTCGCCTC